AAAAAAACTATTTCTAGTAAAGTAAGTGTACCTTGCCACGCCTCTATATTTTGACACTCCACGAGAAAAGCCACTGCTTTTTCTGCCAATATTTTTAATTTAATATAAAAATATTAAAAAAAAAAACTGCAGAATTTAGTAAAAAATTATTAATTAAACAAAAAATTTACTAAATTTAAGACTTTAATTAATATTTAACATACCGTCTTAATGAGCCAATATATTCTTCCTTTGATTGGCCCTCCATTTCCTTAATCTCCTCTTCATAAGTGGACAACTGCCCATAACAATTACTATTAATTAATATATCTCTTAATTAATGAGAATTTAATATAAATCATACTCGAAAAAAACTTTTTTCGAATATAATTTATATTTTAATAAATAAAAATATATATATATAATTATTTACGGGAAAATTTAAAATTGTGTCCTGTCCCCAGTATTTTAATGCGGCCAAATCATAGGCACGTGCAGCAGCTTCTTCCTCATCATATGCTCCTAATATTCATTCGTAATAACAATTTTATTATTATTAATTAAATGAAATTACAATAATAATAATAATAATAAAATTATTGTTAATAAAATAAAGATATAAATAATTAAAAAAATTAATAAATATGGTAAAAACACGTACCTAAATAGACTGCAATTTAGTAGGATCCATTCAACAACCAACGCCAAGCCAACGGAATAGAACAGATTTCCAAAAGGGGGCAAATTTGAGAGAGAAAAATTAGCTCATGCATTAATAGTAATATATTATATATTACTCTAAAAAAATAAATAAATTAAATATAAAAATATGTAAGTGGTAAAAAAATAATTAAAAATAAAATGACATATCAAATTGACAAACAAAAAAAATTAATTTCTTAGAACCAAACTCGTTACAGAATCATTTCGTTGAGGTTTGTAACCAGTTAGATCAACTATCCTCGACGATTACCTGATGATCTAACGGTTTCAAATTCCAACAGAATGGTTCGGTACGTGAAAATGACAAATCAAATTGAAAAAGGGAAAATTCTTTACCCTGTCTTCCTTTTTTGTTCTGTGACTCATTCCAGCTATGTTTATCCCACAAATGAGCTTCGTAACGACCAGTCCACCTGTGCCTGAAAAAATTAATTTTGTAAAATAAAAAAATAAAAATCAAAGGAAAATATAAAATTCAGATTAAAAAATAAAAAATAAAATTAATACCTCGTAACGCCCCTGTAAATGGAGCTACGTTGTTGTGGAGTTTCTCTAGGAATGCTCTTTCGACTCCTTGTCGCCTTTTTGACATTAATAATGTTGCTCTTGTTGTTGTTGTTGTTTGCGCCGGAGGTCTCGACGGCGGCGCCGGAGGCGGAGGCAGAGGCGCCGCTTCTTGATTTTGAAGATTTGGCCATCGGAGTCTAATTTTTGCACTCGGAAATGTATTAAAATAAATAAATAAAATGTGGGTCGGTGAAATTGAAATTTTAATCGACAAAAAAAACCAAAAAAAAAAAAAAAATTGGGGAAATTTATGAATTTCAAGGCCGTGATTGTGGGCGGCGGTGGGGGGCCGACGGGAGAGATTGCGGCGGTTCTGGTGGCTGTTTAGTGGCCGTCCTGCGGCGGCTGGCTTTTTTTTGAGTAATAATGTTGTGTGTTTTGTGTTAAACTTTGTTGTGGGCTATATATAATATTTTTTTTACTATTATTTATGTATACATATGCGTGTGTACTGTGTGAGTTTTTTTTTTCACTTGTAAATGTAAATGGGATTCCATTTATTTTAAATGGTGTTTAATAGTTAATTATTTTTTGTTTATTTTGGTTTTTCAGTTCTGCACCTGTTAATT